GGGTTTATCTCGATGCCTCTCCGGCTGACCATGTAGCCAAGGAACTTGCCGCCCTGGACGCCGAAGGCGCACTTCTTGGGGTTAAGGCGGAGCCTGAACTCCTTCATGATTTCAAAGATTTCCCGGAGGTCGTCGGCGTGGGAGGTGGCCTGCCTGCTCTTGACGATCATGTCGTCGACGTACGCCTCCATCGTCCGGCCAAGGACCGCTCTGAAGATTTTGGCCACCATCCTAGTATAGGTGGCGCCGGAGTTTTTGAGTCCGAAGGCCATGACGAGGTAGCAAAATATTCCCTCTGGGGTCATGAATGCCGTCTTCTCGGCGTCATCTTCGTGCATGGAGATCTGGTAGTACCCTCTGAAAGCGTCGAGGAACGACATCAACTCGCACCCCGCCGTCTCGTCCACCAACTGATCAATGTTGGGGAGAGGGAACGGGTCCATGGGGCACGCCTTGTTCAGGTCAGTGTAGTCAACACACATTCTGAACGTCGGCGGTTTTTGTGCGAGGACGACGTTGGCCAACCATGTCGGGTACTTCACCTCTTTGATGTGCTTGATTGAAAGGAGCATGGCGACCTCTCCTTTGACGAAGTCCCGCCTGTCGGCGGACAAGTAGCGTCGCTTCTGTTTGACAGGCGCGGAGGCCGGATCGACGGTCAGCCGGTGAGTGATCACCTGGCGGCTGATGCCTGGCATATCGTCCGGGCCCCACGCGAAGACAACGGCGTATGACCGTAGGACTAGGAGGATGGCGTCTCGTTGGTCCTGGGGGAGTTGCTTTCCGACCCTGAGAACCCGCTCCGGCCGGGAGGTATCCAGAGGGATTTCCTCGACCTCCTCGGCCGGCTCCGCATGTGGTCTCTCCTCGTCCATGGCGACGGCGGCCGTGATGGTGTCTATCCGCTGTCCTTCCCTTTCGGCCGGCCTCGTCAGCTTGAGGTAGCAAGCTCTGGCTATCCTCTGATTTCCTCTGGCGTAGCCGATGCCGTCATTAGTGGGGAACTTCAAGCATAGGTGCTTCATGGAGATGATGGCCTCCAAGTCCTCCAGCGCTGGCCGGCCCAAGATCAGGTTGTGGGCGCATTGGAGGTTGACCACCATGAACTCCATGTCAATTTGGGCATGGTGGGGGCCGTCACCGACTTCCACGGGGAGGACTATCGTGCCCTCAGCGTCGATAGAGTCCCCGGTGAAGCCGGATAACGGGGTCTTGATCGGCTTCAGCAGAGCTCTGTCCAGCTTCAGCTGCTTGAAGGTGTCTAGGTACATCACGTTGACGGAGCTCCCCGTATCGATGTAAGTACGGTGGATGATGGAGTCACCGATCTCACATCGGATGACGAGGGCGTCCCTGTGTGACTCCGTACCCGGAGGCAGATCCTTGTCGGTGAAGGTGATCGCCTCCGTTCGCTGCTTCTTCGGCTGGGGGGGAACGTGGGACACCTCTCCAATGTATAGGGATTGGGCCCATTTCTTTCTCTGAGTGGCGGAGTCCCCCCCAGTGTTCCCGCCTACGATGAGGTGGATGTGATTCTTCTTCGACGGAGGCTCCTCGAAGTCCTCGTCGTCGCTGAGCCTACCAATCTCGCGCTTCTTCGCAGAGGGTTCGCCCCCACGTTTGCCGGTGTTTATCCAAGTGTTTTTATGTGGTCCACCTTTGACAAACTGGGAGAGTTCCCCCTGGCGAATAAGGCGCTCGATGGCCTTCTTCAATGTGATGCAATCGTCGGTGTTGTGCGACGAGTTCTTGTGGAACCGGCAGTACGTGCCGCCCTGCTGGATGGCCAGGATCTCCTCGGCCGGCCGAGGAGCCTGCTCGATGAGGCCGTGCTTCTCGGCATAATCGAGGATGGTGCTGACCGGGTGGGTGAGGGCTACCCCCGGCCGTTCCAGCCTCGGCCGCCAGTGGCGGTCTTTCTTACTTTGTCCACCAGAGCCGTGGCGGCCCTGGGCACCCTGGCCGGCCGGGGACGGACCCGAGGCCGGCGAAGGATTTGTCTTCTTGGGGGGATGGCCCCCCTCTCTCTTGTGATTGTGGAGCTCGTCGGCGTCGGCATACAAGCCTCCGCGTTGGAGTGCCCTGGCGTACGACCTCGGGGGGTGAGTGATGAGGCTCCTGGCGTACGGGGAGCTGCGGAGGGCTCCCTGGTACAAGGCGAGGAGGGTGCGCTCATCGGCCCCCTCGACCTCCTCGGTCTCCCTTGTCCACCGGTCGATGAATGACCGGAGGGACTCCTCGTGCTGCTGTTTGACGGAGAGGAGGTGGGTGAAATACTTCTTGGCGCGCTTCCTCCCGGCAAAGTGAGTGAGGAAGCGCTGGGCGAGATCTTGCCATGAGTCAATGCTTCCCTCTGGCAGTCCGTTGAACCACTCGTACGCTGGCCCCTCGAGAGTAGAGAGGAACCAACGGCAGAGGTATTCGTCGGACGCGTTCACCATCAGCATGTTGTTTTGATAGCGGCTGAAGTGCTCCTGGGGGTCTGATCGGCCATCGTAGGACTTGATGGCGTTCCCCCTGTACTTCTCAGGGATGGGGGCCGAGAGGACCCTGTTGGTGAAAGGGGTCCTAGTCCTGACCTGGATGATGGGGTCACCCCGCCCCTCGGCCAGCTCCCTCTCCAGGGCGCTGACTTTGTTCATGAGCGCGTTGAGGCCGGGGTCGTTGGAGGCGCCGGCCGTAGGGATGTTGGCCGACTGCTTGGCCTCCATCTGAGCCAACCTCCTTTCCAGCTGGGCGATGACCTCGTCCCGGGGGTCCCTGTCGGCCGCGGCGGCACCCGGCTGGTTCCTCAGGCGCTCGTTGTGGGCCGCGTTGATCTGGTGGCGCACGTCATCCTCGTGCAACTTCCCCTTGCCCTTGTCCGGGCGGGGCTGGTCCGCTGTCCGGGACACAGACCCCAAACTCTCCCTCGGCGAGCCAGGACGAGGATCACCAATCCGTCCCGCCATCCTCTCCGAAACCGGACGACGGCGCGTGTCACCTAGCCTATTGAAGGCAGAGGCTTTTCCACGCGCTGGGGTCTGCCCGGGCCGAAGAGGGGAAGCAGGGTGGGAGTGGGACGACTCCGTGTCCTGGGCCACAACCCCCTCATTGTTGCCTATCTGGACGACCAACGGTTGGGGATGAGGAGGTGGAGTGACGTTTGCCCCGGTCCTTGGCAAGAGTGCGCTGAGGACGGTGGGATTCTGAGCCAAGCTGGCGATGATAGCCGATAGTGCGGCCTGGACCTGAGGATCTACGGACGGAGAGGCCGCGGCCATAGGCTGGGCCGGGGCGTGGTCCGCTTTCTCAGCTCGTTTCTTTTCCAGGCCGAGGCGGGCGTCGGGGACTCCGCCGTTGAGTTGGTTGCGGAGGTCCGTCGTGAGGTTGAAGGCCTCCTGGAAGAGGTCCCCTCCGCCGACCTGGTCGGCCGTGGCGTCCTCATCGTGCTCCCTGGGCTCTTGGTCCTCAGGGATGACTTTGCTGACGAGGTTGCGGTTTGACTTAGTTCTCCCCATGATCAGTGGTTAGCTGTGCTTGGTAGCGACGAAGGGTGCTAACTTGATTGTTCTAGCTCTCAACGAGAGCACCAAATGATAGAGTATATCTCCTAGATTCTAGAGAGAGGTGAGAGCTAGAGAGAGAAGTGCAATAATATGCTTCAATAGAATGATTTTGTAACCCCTATAACTACTCCCAAGGGGAGTATTTATAGAGAAAATTAGGGTTGGGCTCCCAAGCCTTGGGCTTGGGAGGCCCATTTACAACCGGACCGCTACTGGGCCGAATACAAAGCCTCTAATGGGCTGTACAAATGAGTAAGTATAGAATCCGATTCTGGGAGGTCTTCGTGGCCGACGAGGGCGTGGCCGACGAGGGCACGGCTGACGAGGGCACCCGAGTTCCTTGGGTTCAGGACCGTAATCTGAGTTGGCCCCTTTTCGACCGACGGGGGCGTCTTGGCCGACGAGGGCGCCACTCTGTTGTCTTGTGCTCTGTTCTTCCGGGTATGTGGGTCCTGGAGCTCAGACCCATATACTCCATCACAGCGCACCAAGAAAGAAGAACGATACAAGAAAAGAGAAAATGGAAAGAAAAAAATGTAAAAGAAAATTGAAAAGAAATAAAAAGTAAATGCCACATAAGCAAAAAAACTGCTACAACTGGTCACTTTCGGGTCAAGTGACTTGAATTAGGGGTGGACCCAACCGGTTCAGCCCGGCCCGCCACTGTGCGGGCCCGGACTGGCCCGGTTGGTGCTAACCGGGCCCGGGCTTTTACCCGGTTGGGGAGGTTTGGGCGGGTCGGGCTCGAGCCCTATATTTTTGGTTTTTTCAATTTTTTTTTGTTTTTCTTGGTTAGGGCTGGGTGTTTTGGGGGGTTGGGGGTGAGGGGGGGAGGTCGGGGGTTAATTAGAAAGCCAAAAAAATTACCTTGACCCGGGCCCAGCCCGGCCCGGTTAGGCCCGGACCCGGTATCAACCCGGGCCGATTCCAAGCCCAACAATTTGAAAAAAGCCCGCCCGGGCCCGGCCCGGAACCGGAACCGGACCGGCCCGGGTCCATCCCTAATTTGAATGACTCGTTTTTATAAGTAAATAAATGTATATGACATTTATTTAAGCACATGGACTTATGTGGTGGTTGTGACTTGTGAGATAGTACAAGTGTTTATTTGACCGGTTTTCCAATTATTTATGTATGTCCACCTGCAAAATTACTAAGTATTTCATTTATGATGAGTTTTGTTTTGAGAATTCGAATTGTTGCATATCATTCGATCAGCCGGTTTACCATTTCTTATTTGTGAACATGTTTGATCTTTTTGTAGTAGTTTGTTATTGTACATTTGTTGGTTGGTTGAAAACTTGAAATAGTTCAATTTTGCTAGTTTGTTTGATTGAAGACTTATAAAACGCCACTACATAGGGAACTTTGAATTCGCCACCTGTGTTGGCGATTTTGGTTAACCATGGTTACTCCCGACATATTTTGGTAAATACTTTTAACCCGACTGTCCTTTGTAATTATTTTTTAAATTAGCATTATCTCGGAAAAAGCTCAGCATGAAATAGATAACATAGTCTGATTTCCATAAGCTTTATTTATAAACCAACTAATTTCAGATAGGAGACATGTAGGGAAAAAATATACACTACAAACCAAATCACTGTTTGTTTCAACCAATTGAATAGGGTTCTTTTTCACAGATGGAAGGAAGCAAAGATTGATCATTGCACTTTGCTCCACTAGTGTTGTTTGGCAATTCCGTCTTACTTTTCTGGAGAAAGCTTCCCGCAGGAGATGATGATCTCGCAGCATCAAGAGCTCTAAAAAACTGCAGGCCATCAAAATGATCCTCTCTCCTCTTATCCACCTCTTCTTTCACCCTCTGTAAAGGAAACAAGCAAACAAATAAATAAATCATGGTGATTTAAGAGGGAATATAAGTTTAACCTTATTAGTTTCTAGGAAGTGTTTTCGAAGTCTTAAGATAAAAAATGATTGAAATACCTAGGCAAGATAGGCGCTAGGCGGGCAGTCACCGCTCGACTAGCGTCTAGAGCGGGTAGTGAGGGTGCTACATGTAATAATCAAACAATTTATATCACTCACAATTCAGGGTACTGGTTACTTGTTAGTTCTGAAGCATTTTTAGCCAGAAATTAATTTTCAGTTTGGCTAAAGGGTCAAATAGGTACGTGAACTAACTTCAAGTGTTCAATTAGCCCCTTATTTAGGAGGTTCTGTCCGGACGTCGCCAATTGGAATTGTTAAACAGCGCAGTACATTTCGGAAAATCATTTGACTGTCTTCCCGGTTGAATTTTTAGCTGAAATTTGGTATGGGTAAATTAGACTTAATGAAGAAGATTCTCAAAAAATTTCATCAAAAAAATCCACCGGGAACCGCCCCAATTGGCGACGGCCGAGCAGAACCTCCTATATGAGGGGCTAATTGAACACTTTAAGTTAATTCATATACCTATTTGACCCCTTTAGCCTTTCAGTTTTGGTCTCATTTTTTTACTTCTAGCCAACAAATTTTGCTTTCTTCACTCTCTAGGCATGATTATGATTTTTTATCATTCTAAAAATCGTTCTAGGCGTCCGACTAGTCCCCACCTAGGCGCTATGCGGTGGACGGGCGCCCCGATTTTTGTCTAGGCACTCCGATTAAATGGTTTGCCGTCTAGGTGAATTAGTCGGCCGCCTATGACGCCTAGTTGCCCGCCCAGAGCGCCTAATCGTCCGCCTAGGCCGTCTAGATTCGACGAACACTACTTTACTTTTTAATTGTTTTTCCTAAGCGATATAGGTACTTTAACTTTAGCCACAAATATAAAGAAATGATGTTGTAGATTAAGATAAAAACTCTATATGTTTGTGTATATACCTAAATTTTATTATTATTTATATTTATAACATAATGAAGTTAAGTGATTAGTTATCATATATTACGTATGATTAAATGTGATAATTCTATCATTCATGTTTGTTAATGTATGTGTATATATGTATTTTATACACACAAAAAATACAAAATTACTTAACATATTTATGCAAAAATATAGATAAAAATGCAATTTTTATGTCCCCGCCTAGGTGCTAGGTGCTAGGCGCTGGGCTGGCACCCGACTAGCGCCTAGCGCCTTTTAGAACTTAAGGGAAATAAGAATGAATCTTGACCGTTGGATTGTATTATGTGGAACTGTCTTGTGCACTTGGTAAAACTGAAACGTGCATTGCGTAAAACTAAAATGTGCAGAATAAAAGATAAAACTCAAACGTGCATTACATGAAACTGAAATGTGCAAAACAAATAGCACAAAAATGTCACCACATCATAGCTTCTATTCTGCATACTTCAGTTTCACGTAATGCACATTTCAATTTCACCTGATGCACAATTCAGCTTCACATAAGCAATTGTGCCGTACATTTTGTGCTACACATTTTCATTTCACCTAATGCACATTTAGTTTCACCTAATGCACATTCAATTTCCCAAAATACAATCTAACGGTCTAAATTCATTCTCATTTGAGCATAATTATATATATATAAAATAAGGATCAAATGAGAAGAGTGTTTATCGTAAGAAGTGAGAATGCATCTGGTGCGTTCAATTTAAGATCTAATGGATGTAAAAGTGCAAAAAATAACAAACAAGTGATGTTAGATGCGGTGGCATTTATGTAATTAACTGGAACTTTTCTGTCATCGCAAAAAGTGCATCAGATTAGCGAAAAAGTGCATCAGAAAGAGTTAAATGTGTAACTTCTCACTTCTCAAGTTAAGATGTCTTCTCATTAGAACCCAATCCTATATATATATATATATATATATATATATATATATATAGACAAAAGTTCAGGTCCGGAATTCCGGACCAGAACCTCCGTCCGGACGCCGCCGTTTGGGGCGGTTCCCGGTTGACTTTTTCGATGAAATTTTTATGCCATGTTCTTCATCAAGTCTAGTTTATCCACAAAAAATTCCGCTAAAAACTCAATCGGGAAGGTCGTCAAATAAATTTTGGAAGTTAACTGCGTTTTATATGTATTTTCCGGCGCAGTTAACTTCCTAAAATTATTTGACGACCTTCTCGATTGAATTTTTAGCTGATTTTTTTTGTGGATAAACTAGACTTGATGACGAACATACCATAAAACTTTCATCAAAAATTGCACCGGGAAGGTGGCCAAACGCCGCCGCTTCCGGTCAGGAATTCCTGATCGGAACACTATTCTATATATATATCAAAGGTAGAAGTAGCCTAAGTCCTAACAATTTGGAGACCAAAATTAAAATAATTTCTCATGGTTCAGCTTCATGAAATTCAAGCCAGCAGAATCCAGAGACAAACTGTATCAATACTAACCTGTAACAGCCAAGGGTCAAATTTGGAATGTCCCATTTGCCGGACAGTCAGCGACCCAAAGAAGTTCCCCAATAATGCGGAATCGGGCACGGTTAATCCATGAGTAAGTCCGGTTACAAACCCACCCAGAAAGCTATCCCCAGCTCCTGTTGGATCGACTTGAATGGTAGGAAATGGCGCAATCTTTAGCTCTGAATCCTTGGTGAACACCGTGCAGCCCTCATTGCCATTGGTCAGCACTACACAACATCGCTTCCTCACCTCCTCCATGTCCAAGAACGGCGCCTCGTCTGACGAGGCCTTCAAAAACCCTATTCTAGGGAGTAGATATAAGAACCCAGTTTGGTTCAGGTCAACGTGGTTCACTGTTCCATCTGCTGGGTCAAAGACCCGAATCAGCGCTTGGATATCAACAAGGACTGTCTCACAGATATCGATCATCCGCTCGAGGGTTTCGGGTAAAATCTCCCCGCCAACACCGACGGCCAACCCGAAATCGAATTTCGAGTTGGGGAGATCAGAGGCTGAGATCGGTTCACAAGCCCTAACCCGCTTAAGAATCCGATCCTGGCGCTTGATTTCAGACGAGAAATAGGCATGGAATACAGTCGTTCGCAAAGAAGGTGAAACCAGAGGCCGGTGGGTAATGGGGTAAGCAAAATCAGGACCGACCTTGGAAACATAACATGACGCGACATTGAATCCATCGAGCACGGAAGAAATAAAGGAGGTGGCGCCCCCAATGGATTCTGCGATGACGCTGTTGTCTTTGATCAGAACATCATGGCAGTAATTCCCGACGACAAGGCAGGAGCGGCGATGGCTGGATGGAGATGCAAGGTCTGTGGCATAAGGATCCAACTGACCTTGATCCATGACAGTAGAAGGCCATGTCTGTCCACTATCCCTCTCCTCAAGGGTGACATGCCTTGTATCATCATCTGCAAGATGTCATTAGGTTTAACACCAGCAAGCATAAAAAGTACATTTAAATGAAGCATAAATTGGTTCCTCCAGTTTGTCACTCTAACAAATTACAAATGGTTGCCTTCAAATTATCACTTCCTATGCAAACATTACTGATCAATGATATAAAATCATGAATTTCTTATAAAAGGATATGCCTTTATATCAGTAGAAAATACGAGCTTTCCCATAGAAAAACACACTTTTTAGTATTGATTGATGGATGCTTAGGAAATGCCATATATATTAAACACTTCTGTATTTTAATAACAAGATCACTACTTTCTCAAAGAAGACACTTACCATAACCCAAATTTTTTACGATAAAAGCAAAAGATTTACACAATCTCCTTTTTCGTGGCCTTTTGAGGTTAGAACAATGCATAAGGACGAAAAAATGTTAATTTTCTCCTAAACCATAGAAACATTACCTATGTTCGGAATGAACAATCCGTCTTCACATGATTAGCAAGACCCACCTAATTCGAAGACATTCTGATATGATACAATCAATAACAAAACCCTAAAAATGACACCCAGATAGGGAACCAATAATCACACATGCACCGAGTGAGGGAGTGGGTACCGTTATGGATGAAGCTGCGACGCTTCTCAGGAGCCAAATTATCAGCCATTTTGTTTCCAGGTTTCGAGCTTCTATCTGCAGCTCCCCTATTCCTCCCTCGATTGGCTCTGGCTTGATTCCAATACCTTCAAATTTTCCAGAACCGGATCCAATCGGGTCAGAAATTTAACATTAAGAATTTAATTGTGGAGCATACTTGATCTAGAGGAGCCGAAAATGAAACGGTGTTGGCAATCTCAGGCAATTACCGGCAAAAGAAAACTAAGGTTATTAGAAGTTTAGACGAAAGAGAGACCGAGTAAGAAGAGAGAATGAAGATAAAACAGAGCATGTATAGCTAGAGCATACATATTTGTGATCAGAGAATCCCACTTCTCATACGCAGAATGGGAATTTGATGCTTTTCAAATCGGTGGGTTGAGGATATTGCCAGTTCAAGCGCACTCATGGTAACTGGGGAAGGAGAGAACCGAACATGAAAGTGATGAAACGAGTCAAGAATGTGAAAGGGAAATTTTGTATAGTTTTTTTTTCGAATTAATGATAATTTATTAATTAATTACGAAAATAATGTTGAATTAAAAATATTTACCGATTTACCGTTGGTTTTAAATATGGTCGGGGTAAGTCGCCAAAAGGTTGGGTGACTTACAAGTCGGCATCCGGTTTGGCGATTTATAAGTCGCACAACCGTTTGGCGACTGACCTAACTCCATATTTCCTAGATTCAATCCGACTTCACTTGTTTCCCATAAACAAGGTCTTCTTTCTCCTATTTAGGAGTTACGAATCAGATACAACACATTACAAAACATACAACACACATGCTCATAAACACACACATAACACCTTCTCTCAACAACATACAAAACACTGCATACATACCCTTCACAAATAAGATACAAACTAGTAGATTCATAACCAGTAAAACACAGTACAATAATCCAATATTTATAACACAGTAGTCATCTAATATTTATAATCGAACACATCAACACATCATAAAAGAGTTTACAGGTGGAAATACGTAAAATAAAGTCAATTCTTCCTACAGCATCTAGTGTACAAGAAAAACTCCAATACAAAAGACAAACTATAAGTTCTCATGGTCTTTTTTATCGTCTTGGTCATGGAGATGTTGTTGGATGTTGCTGCCTACGCCTACGCCGCTTGCGTGGTTGAAGAACCACTCTCTCATGGTGAGTCTGGGATGATGAAGTCGTCGCTGCACTAGATGTCGATGACATATTTTGAGATGGGGGCATATGTATAAGATGACTGTAGTTGACTCGCCCCAACACATCTGAACACAACGAGGCGATGCCCGTCAAAGCCTGACCGTACATGTCCACGTCATGCGTACCACTCACTGTGGCAGTAGCCCGCTGATGTATACCCCGCAAAGCTCGTGTCTGAAATATGAAACACAATTACAATTAGTTAGAAATAAATAAAAGTGTTAAATAAAGAAAATGACTTACTTTAGTAATTAGTAATATGTTCACCGTCAGATGCAAAGCCAAGGAACTAGGCTAATAATGGTGAGCAGGGAGTCTGAACGAAGGAGACACAAACAAACGAGTGATACTGTAATACCATATCATGTCTTCTGAAACAGATGGGACTAATGTCGGTGTCCCAGTCACCTATGGATTCCTCAATGTAAATCTCCAACGAGGACGTACTCTCCATCTTAATTAGCGACCACATATTTGTGACAGCTAGCTCATCAACAAGTGGCATAAACATGAAATTTCCCCCGTTACGGGGAAATTTCATTTTTAATCGCAAAGAACGGCTCGGATGAATCATTGTGGCAACATGTTTTTTTTAACATCTCGAGCAAACATGCGCCACGAGAAACAATGACAATGTTGCTTCTACCACCTTCATGGCGTATTTGGCCAGCATCCTCATAATAGTTCCCTCCCCAATGACACACGATTGAGAAGTTGGAGAAATCCATATTCTAATAATAATACATGTCAAACTTTCACGAGTACACATTAATATACACACTTTATACACCCAAATTAATCATTTCATACACATAAGAACATATTAAAAACTATCATATTTAAGCAAATCTTATAGGATAAGTATACACCTAACAATGCCAAAATATTACATTTAATTCAACATTAAAACTCAACATGTCATGCATATCCACATTTCACAACAAATCAATTCACAAATCAATTCATAATCTTAAAATTCGAAATTTTTTAGATTCTAAAAACCCTAACTTTAATATGAGAAGAAGATTGACTTTGATTTACCTAGAAGAAAGAGTATTGAAGAAGATGGAGGTGGAGAGTCCTTGGCAAGGTGGCTTCGCCGGAGATGGAGGTTCGCCGGAGTTGGAGTGGCTCTCGTCCGCTCGTCTTCGTCCTTCGTCGCTACAGCTTTGGGGGATTTGGGGGTGTTGTGCGTTCTGTCTAACAAAACCGACCCGTCTGGTTATTTAATAGGTAAGTCGCCCAACCGTTTGGCGACTTACCCCAACCATTGTTAAACCCAGTAGTAGATCGATAAATACTTTTAACCCATCATTATTTTCGTAATTAATTAATTAATTAGCATTAATTCGAAAAAAAACTCAATTTTGTCCTGGTAGATTATTTTAAGAAAGTGTACCAAACATTTTGTAAAGGTTATAAAAATTCTTAGTTATTCATGTTATTTTATCTTTCAAAAAGTACATATGGAAATTAAATTTGATAAATTTAAAATAGAAAGAAAATTAGAACTAAAACAAAAGCATTAGAAATAAATTTTTCTTTTTTTCTTCTCTCATACTTTTTATCTTTCTCTCTTGAAAAAAATTGTTTGTATATACTATTTTATACACTCCATAGACACGCCTATGTATAAGTTTTTTTTGTCTGTGAACATGCTATTCACAGACAAAAATAACACATCCACAGACGTTTATATGAGATGTATACAAAAAAGTGTGCAAAAAGTAGAGATGTTCTGTTTTTACTATTTTTTTAATTAAAGGATAATGAAATTCATTAAGAGAGATTGAACAACATCCCCTTAATTGTAGAACTATAAGTGAGACTAAGACAATTTAGAACTCATTTGGTAACATTCAAATTGACGTGACTGGATGTTAGCAAATAAAGATTGTGATTTCATATTTATATGATTAATTTAAACAAATAAAATTTTACTTATGTGTATGACGAAACCAAATGCAAAATTGTTCAATTTTAATGGATAAATTGGAAGTATAATTTATAATTACACTTATATTTAAAGCAACATTTATTATAAAGTGTTACATATTACTAGTACTATGTAACATCACAAAAATAATGTTACATAATACGTAGTAATATGTAACACTTTATATTAGGTGTTGCATAATTGTATGATCAAATATTTTTGCAACATTTATAAATATGTGTTGCATAATTATTACTTTAAATCTTATACTCCATATGTAATACTACGTATAAAATAAAGTGTTGCAAACAAAGTGTTACAAAAAGTTATTTTTGTTCTAGTTATAAACAAAGGAGTTTGAATTGAAGTGAGTTTATTTCTTCTCCACTATCTTGAGCGGAGTGCAGGGCCGGCTATAGGGTCAGGATGCCTACACAAGTGTCTAGGGCTCCAAAATTTTAGGGCCCTTTAATTTTTAAAATAAATCCATTAATATTATATATGTGTATTTTAATCTAGAAAATCTGTAGAAATGTAAGTACCAAGGTCGAAGTTCGAAACTGAGAGTCGGGCAGATGCGTGAGTAGATGACTTACCAACCATTCTTTTAGTAATCCATTAATCCCTTCGGCAATCTCCAGACCCCAATTGGCACAACAGGTCAACGGGCAATAGCACCGCATGGTTTATGACTTTTACTAATTTTACTAATCGAATAATTGATTTGGTTGATTTGTAGAATTTTCAGATTGCTTTTGCTATTTTACTAGTATATTACCCGTGCATACTGTCACGGACTTATTCTCGAACCCGTGCGGCACTAGCAACACTCACTCGAACTATGCTAGTCAGCCTAACTCTTGCGGAAACTAGGACACCGATTGTGGAAAAACTCGTACAAATGCACGGGAAAGAGTGGTTGGTGCATATATTTTTACTCATGAACTAATTAAATATTAGAATAAAAATAGTCTTTTAGGATTCTACATTTTCGAAAAATAAAACTCCGTAGTACAATAAGCTAATACCATAAAGTATAAGCCCGTAGAATATATATTCAATGAAGAGTATATTAGGAAAAATCAATTGACACCACTCATTAGAGTTTGCTTTTTATTAATTTTAAATTTAAATACTATTCTAAAACAGTGAGTACAATAAGTGAGTGACATAAAGTTTAAGTGAATATTAATTAAATAAGAACTTGTTACTCATTTGAAGATTCACACCATTGAACCTATACTCTTCGAAGAACAAGTGATCCCACAAAGTTTCAAAATTAAAGGTTTCAAAATTCAGGCAATCGGATGGAAGAAACCAAAGAAGAGGAATAAACTTAATGTTGACGCTAGCTTCTTACCTGGTTGTGCGAAAGGTGGTGCAATTTTGCGAGATCCAGATGAGAGGATGCTTGATGCTTTCTCCTTTCGCTACAAGCTACCTCAGCATTGGAGGCAGAGATTCTTGTCATACTGGAGGCGATGCGTAGGAGTGTTCAGACAGGAAACCAAGGTTTTGTTATTGAGACTGACTCTGCCATGGCGATCGAGTATATCCAAGCTAGGGAGTCGAGGAAATGGAAGGTCGCTATTCAGGAAATCAGAGAGGTCGTGATTAGGAAAGGAGTGGATTTTGTCCACACGAAGCGTGAAGGAAATTGGGCCGCTCACTTTCTATCCCAGGCCCAAGCGGATAAAACTGTTATTTTTAATAGGCCTAATCAGCTTCCCATTTTAGTAAAATGGGCCTATTGGATGGACTTTTTTGACATTCCTTCTTTGAGGATTTTCTGACTCTGTTTGTATTCTCTGATGGGTCAGGTCTAGCCCCCCCCCCCCCCCATTAGGTTTGGCTGTCTTTTTCGTTGTTTTTTGGGAAGGGGTGCCTTCCCCGGAAAGGTTTTGGTCTCGTCCCCCTTTCTTTGTATCAGTTTTTCTTAATTAATAAAATCCGGTAAATGTTCCCTGACATTTACCCCACTGATTTTGGTGGTTTGCCTTCCGGGTAAAAAAAAGAACTTGTTACTCATTAGTAAATCAGTGCTAATATATGAAAAAGAAATTGTCTCGCTCAATTCCTAGCCCGCTTACTTTATACCTAAAACAACTACATATGAGAGAAAATTTTATCACTCAAGTGTTAGTCAAATTGTCTTATCTTCTTATACTTAAAAGCACTACGTATGAGGGAGAATTTTTTACTCCTTAATTGTTATCCAACTTATCTTATACCTAAAAGAATTACCTATATGATAATTCCCTCACTCAATTGTTAGCAAGTTTATCTTCTAATACCTAAAAGCACTACATATGAGAGCGAAAATTCGCCTGCTCAAT